ATGTATTCTTTGGTTTAGATTGGTTTGGTTTATTTTGTTTTATGTTATATCAACCTCAATGGGTTATTTTTAATGCCGACAACATTTTTAGGATAGATTCGTATGAATAGAATATGTATTCTTTGGTTTAGATTGGTTTGGTTTATTTTGTTTTACGGCATATCAACCTCAATGGGTTATTTAATGCCGACAACATTTTTAGGATCGATTCGTATGAATAGAATATGTATTCTTTGGTTTAGATTGGTTTGGTTTATTTTTTTTTTATGTTATATCAACCTCAATGGGTTATTTAATGCCGACAACATTTTAGGATAGATTCGTATGAATAGAATATGTATTCTTTGGTTTAGATTGGTTTGGTTTATTTTGTTTTATGTTATATCAACCTCAATGGGTTATTTAATGCCGACAACATTTTTAGGATAGATTCGTATGAATAGAATATGTATTCTTTGGTTTAGATTGGTTTGGTTTATTTTGTTTTACGGCATATCAACCTCAATGGGTTATTTAATGCCGACAACATTTTTAGGATAGATTCGTATGAATAGAATATTTGTATTCTTTTTATGGTTTAGATTGGTTTGGTTTATTTTGTTTTTTGTTATTTATTTTGTTTTTTGCGGCATCAACCTCAATGGGTTATTTAATGCCGACAACATTTTTTAGGATAGATTCGTATGAATAGAATATGTATTCTTTGGTTTAGATTGGTTTGGTTTATTTTGTTTTATGTTATATCAACCTCAATGGGTTATTTAATGCCGACAACATTTTTAGGATAGATTCGTATGAATAGAATATGTATTCTTTGGTTTAGATTGGTTTGGTTTATTTTGTTTTATGTTATATCAACCTCAATGGGTTATTTAATGCCGACAACATTTTTAGGATAGATTCGTATGAATAGAATATGTATTCTTTGGTTTAGATTGGTTTGGTTTATTTTGTTTTACGGCATATCAACCTCAATGGGTTATTTAATGCCGACAACATTTTTAGGATAGATTCGTATGAATAGAATATGTATTCTTTAATGGTTTTTAGATTGGTTTGGTTTATTTTTGGTTTTTGGTTTGGTTTATTTTGGCATATCAACCTCAATGGGTTATTTAATGCCGACAACATTTTTAGGATAGATTCGTATGAATAGAATATGTATTCTTTGGTTTAGATTGGTTTGGTTTATTTTGTTTTACGGCATATCAACCTCAATGGGTTATTTAATGCCGACAACATTTTTAGGATAGATTCGTATGAATAGAATATGTATTCTTTGGTTTAGATTGGTTTGGTTTATTTTGTTTTATGTTATATCAACCTCAATGGGTTATTTAATGCCGACAACATTTTTAGGATAGATTCGTATGAATAGAATATGTATTCTTTGGTTTAGATTGGTTTGGTTTATTTTGTTTTACGGCATATCAACCTCAATGGGTTATTTAATGCCGACAACATTTTTAGGATCGATTCGTATGAATAGAATATGTATTCTTTGGTTTAGATTGGTTTGGTTTATTTTGTTTTATGTTATATCAACCTCAATGGGTTATTTAATGCCGACAACATTTTTAGGATAGATTCGTATGAATAGAATATATATTCTTTGGTTTAGATTGGTTTGGTTTATTTTGTTTTACGGCATATCAACCTCAATGGGTTATTTAATGCCGACAACATTTTTAGGATAGATTCGTATGAATAGAATATGTATTCTTTGGTTTAGATTGGTTTGGTTTATTTTGTTTTACGGCATATCAACCTCAATGGGTTATTTAATGCCGACAACATTTTTAGGATAGATTCGTATGAATAGAATATGTATTCTTTGGTTTAGATTGGTTTGGTTTATTTTGTTTTATGTTATATCAACCTCAATGGGTTATTTAATGCCGACAACATTTTTAGGATAGATTCGTATGAATAGAATATGTATTCTTTGGTTTAGATTGGTTTGGTTTATTTTGTTTTACGGCATATCAACCTCAATGGGTTATTTAATGCCGACAACATTTTTAGGATCGATTCGTATGAATAGAATATGTATTCTTTGGTTTAGATTGGTTTGGTTTATTTTGTTTTACGGCATATCAACCTCAATGGGTTATTTAATGCCGACAACATTTTTAGGATAGATTCGTATGAATAGAATATGTATTCTTTGGTTTAGATTGGTTTGGTTTATTTTGTTTTACGGCATATCAACCTCAATGGGTTATTTAATGCCGACAACATTTTTAGGATAGATTCGTATGAATAGAATATGTATTCTTTGGTTTAGATTGGTTTGGTTTATTTTGTTTTACGGCATATCAACCTCAATGGGTTATTTAATGCCGACAACATTTTTAGGATAGATTCGTATGAATAGAATATGTATTCTTTGGTTTAGATTGGTTTGGTTTATTTTGTTTTATGTTATATCAACCTCAATGGGTTATTTTATGCCGACAACATTTTTAGGATAGATTCGTATGAATAGAATATGTATTCTTTGGTTTAGATTGGTTTGGTTTATTTTGTTTTACGGCATATCAACCTCAATGGGTTATTTAATGCCGACAACATTTTTTAGGATCGATTCGTATGAATAGAATATGTATTCTTTGGTTTAGATTGGTTTGGTTTATTTTGTTTTATGTTATATCAACCTCAATGGGTTATTTAATGCCGACAACATTTTTAGGATAGATTCGTATGAATAGAATATGTATTCTTTGGTTTAGATTGGTTTGGTTTATTTTGTTTTTACGGCATATCAACCTCAATGGGTTATTTAATGCCGACAACATTTTTAGGATAGATTCATTATGAATAGAATATGTATTCTTTGGTTTAGATTGGTTTGGTTTATTTTGTTTTTACGGCATATCAACCTCAATGGGTTATTTAATGCCGACAACATTTTTAGGATAGATTCGTATGAATAGAATATGTATTCTTTGGTTTAGATTGGTTTGGTTTATTTTGTTTTACGGCATATCAACCTCAATGGGTTATTTAATGCCGACAACATTTTTAGGATAGATTCGTATGAATAGAATATGTATTCTTTGGTTTAGATTGGTTTGGTTTATTTTGTTTTTACGGCATATCAACCTCAATGGGTTATTTAATGCCGACAACATTTTTAGGATAGATTCGTATGAATAGAATATGTATTCTTTGGTTTAGATTGGTTTGGTTTATTTTGTTTTACGACATCAACCTCAATCAACAACATTTTTAATGGGTTATTTAATGCAGACAATATTTTTAGGATAGATTCGTATGAATAGAATATGTATTCTTTGGTTTAGATTGGTTTGGTTTATTTTGTTTTACGACATATCAACCTCAATGGGTTATTTAATGCCGACAAAATTTTTAGGATAGATTCGTATGAATAGAATATGTATTCTTTGGTTTAGATTGGTTTATTTTGTTTATTTTTGTTTTTTTTACGATATTCAACCTCATAGAATGGGTTATTTAATGCAGACATATCAATATTTTTTAATGCATAGATTTTTATGAATAGAATATGTATTCTTTGGTTTAGATTGGTTTGGTTTATTTTGTTTTACGACATATCAACCTCAGTGGGTTATTTAATGCCAACAAAATTTTGAAATAGATTCATAGCAAAAGTTCGGTTTGGTTTGTTTTACGGCATATCAACCTTAATGGGTTATTTAATGCCGACAAAATATTTGTTGCTGGTAATATTTTTTTCCATCATAAATCTATTTTTGGTAATATTTTTTTCTTCAAAAATGTATTGCTGGCAATAATTTAAAAAAAAAAAGCATTTCTGATAATAAAATATATTTTTACAATTTCATAGTGTTATGACCACAGTTTGGGAGTTAACTATTTGCCCATAGCTGCGACCCTAACAGGTGCTACCACCCCGGGTCGAGGTGAACCTGGGAACACCAGCAATTATGAAGTGGTTCCACGCTCCTCAAAACCTCCTGAGCAGAGGCTTTGCTGTTGGATGTAGTTTATCGTCTTACCCAGGACTCGGATGTAGTTTATCGTCTTACCCAGGACGCGGATGTAGTTTATCGTCTTACCCAGGACGCTGTAATTTGGAGTTGGAACTCTTGAGCGAAGTCTGTCAGTTTTGCCCCGTTTCGGTTAGTTTCCTTATTATATGAGAATGGAGCATCCTCCTTCCCTATTTGACCATTGAAATGACCTGAGATAACGAGAAATTTGTGGGAGTGGCCACTTTCTTCAGACCAGAGTAAAATATGTCTACTAGTTTTTCGTCACTTGTGTCAGTTGGGCAGTAACAAGCAATGAATGTGGTTTGAGGTTTCTTGTTAAATTCAGCAACAATTATGCCATCAGATATTTTTTCAACAAATAGTAAGTTTCCCGAGACTTTAAGAGAGGGAAGTATACCAACTCTGGCGACCTTGGGAGTTTTAGTGATTGAGACGGTGATAAATTAGTATTGATTAAGGTTTTTATAATTCACATTAGTATCAGATTATGGTACCTGTACCTCTGGATGTTCAAGATGTCAATTTTATGTTGCTTTGTGCAAAATAGAAACTCTTGTTTTTTGCTGGTCTTTGACAAAGTTAATGAACTGAAAGTGCTGTACGCAATGAAGTGTCTCAATATGTCTACTAGTTTTTCGTCACTTGTGTTAGATGGGCAGTAACAAGCAATGAATATGGTTTCAGGGTTCTTGTTAAATTCAGCAACAATTATGCCATCAGGTATTTTTTCACCAAATAGTAAATTTCCCGAGACTTTAGAAGAGAGTATACCAACTCCGCCGACTATGGAAAAGAGGTTTGGGTGCCTGAGGCGTTGATAAATTGGTATTGATCAAGGTTGTTATAATTCAGGTAAGTGTCAGGGTGATGGTACCTGTGCTCCTGGATGCTTCGAGATGTCAATTTTCATAGGGACTTCTACTGGCAGCTTGGATGACCGTAGGCTAATAATGACATTAATGAAAACAACTCTATGATCAGATCCGACAGAAGAAAAAGATGATTATGCCTGATCATTATGCACACTGTTCTTCCACTTGTTTCTCACAAGGATGGAATCAATTTGTGAACGAGGTCCGAATGTATGCTGGAATGTCCACAGACGATGCTTTATGAATCTCGTGTTTTTATTTTGGAGTTTTGAACTCTTGAGCGAAGTCTGTTAGTTTTGGCCCGTTTAGGCTAGTTTCCTTATTATATGTGAATGGAGCATCCTTCTTCCCTATTTGATTATTGAAATCGCCTGAGATAACGAGAAAGTTATGGGAGTGGCCACTTTCTGTTACTTTCTTCAGACCAGATTAAAATATGTCTACTAGTTTTTCGTCACCTATGTTAGTTAGAAAGTAACAAGCAATGAATATGGTTTGAAGGTTATTCAGCAACAATCATTGCAATCAGATATTTTTTTTCAACAGATAACAAGTTTCCTGAAGCTTTAACAGAGAGAAGTATACCAACTCCGACAACTGTTAAAAACCCTTCCTAGAGATTTATTTATGTGTGTACTTGCTTGATTTTGGTATCTCGGATTTTTAATTTGCATGTTGGACTGTTCTTCGATGCTGGGAACGCCATAGTCCGAATATGTGAGCAACGACGAAGTTTTAGGAAAAAATGGAAGCCAAAAAGACACTTATACCCAGAAAAAGACAGTTGAAATATCTGAGACATATAATGAGAAAAGGAGGCTTAGAAAATTAAACACTCACATGACATATTGAAGGTGAGAGTGGAAGAGGAAAAAAACACATGACATACCTGACGAGCTTGTTTAAATAGTTAGCAGAACAGGGTTTGGGAGCCATAGCGAAAAGAGAAACATTGCTAAGAGCTACAAAGGACAGGAAATTGTGGAGAGCCTATATACTGAAAGGAGACGGCACATACCACAAGAATAAGATTATGAAAAATAGAGAATTTTCTAGTATCCGACTCTCCGTAAATGTTTCTGTACCACTCATGATAACGGATTACTTAACGTTCGCGGTTAATTTTCAGCAACCCATGCGGCTTCTTTTTCTTTTCTTTTTTTTTTTTGAAATTGTGCACGTCGGCCTCTGGCTAAACGATCCCTACGAAAAGCGAAATACATTTGCGGAAACAACAGATACCCTCGGCTTCACATAACCTAGAAAAGATTAATACCCTTGGCCTGACATAGCGAATGTAACCTAGAAAAAGCCTGCAGCGAAATAACAATTCTATTATGTATGGTATTCACACATCAGTGATTGACACCTCAGTGGCAAAATCCAAAAAGGACAGAAGAAAATAAAATCCTCTCGCTCATGCAATTACAACGCCACATGTTGACCTTAGGGAATGATTAGCTATCGATCTTTTTGCCACCGATCGAGGATTTTTTTTTTTAAAACGGACCGGCCACATATGGCTAATTGTTAACAACGGCAACTTCAGCTGCAACAGAAAGGAAGTGAAGACCAGAAAAAGAAAAGTAGCAACTCATAGTATCTACGATTTAGTGTATTATTTGTTTCTTATTTTTGATTATTGAGGGTGGGGAGAAGGAAGTAGATGAGATATAGTAGTAGTAGTAGTAGTAGTAGTAGTAGTAGTAGTAGCAGCAGCAGCAATAAATAATATATAAGATTCAAGTTATTATCGGGACAGAGTTTAAAAATACGATTACTTACCTGTATAAATGAAGGCGATTATCAGGATTAGTTATTTCTATGTAACTGATTTATTTACAAACTTAAGTGAAAAAGCAAAAAAAAAAAATAAATAAATAAAAACAGATGTGGCACCGGAATTTAAATTGTGGATTTTACAAGTATAACGTCAGCTTAAAAAAAAAAAAAATCAAATGAGTTCAGAATTTTTTTTACAAGGAGCGAGTTATGGTACATTATTTGCACACCTACTGATTACGGCCAGTGGATTACCTAACAAAAAACAAAAAACAGCAAATAACTTTTTATACGGTAAAAAACGTGAAACAGATCGTGCAAACTAAACAGTAGACTGACTGCAGAGGGAAAGGGGTCTTTCCTGCCCTGGTTTCGAATCGGTACTTTTCCTAACGAAG